TAATGGATTAAAGATTCTGGACGGTAAGTGATGCCTCCCTAGGTATGTACTAGAATAACAGCTCATTGAAGGCCCTGAGTCTACATCACGTAGATAAGGTAGGGATCAGGTATTAACCTCAAAAGGCCTCCTCAGGTGGTAGGAAGCAATCACCCTGGTAAAGCGCTGCACTTAGTGAAGGCGGGCCCGGCAACTTAGGCAGTCATGATGGCTCCTACCGAGAAAGCTCTACCAGTGGCACTAATGTCGCATTGCTGCGTCAAATTGCTGGGCTCTTGCGCGTTCTGCTGGTCCAAAGAATCAGGTGTGACAAGCGCTACTGAAGAATCAGAGAACGGGGCAAGGGAGGCTGCGGAGCTCGGCCTTCAGCGAGAACCTTGAAAGTTCGTACGCAACTTCCGTTGGCATATTTCTGAGTGAGTCATTCGGTTAGTATTACCGGAAAGAACTCATTCCCTCACAATGAGGAGGCACTAAGGAGTAAATCGAGTGGACTAATCAAAGTGCCTTTGGGTCTTGTATACACTTGATTTGGTCGATACCTCCATTCATGGAAGAGGTAGAAATAGGAGAACCTTCGGCAGGCTATACCTGTTCGATATGAAGCTGTTGCGCTGTGAGAAATGAAGGCCCTTCCAAGGTTATTTCAAGGCTAAATCCTTGGCCAGATACGGAATTCGACATCTCATTGATAGCAAATTGACGTAGTATGTGAAATAGCCCATGCCACAGGAAATTCCTAATATAGCCACAATGGCAATTAGACGCTGTTTTATGTTGTATGAAGTATGGCTGATAGTTCGTAAGATTCAAACGGTTTCGCTTTCTGGTGATTACTATGTATGTGTGAATGACGTTGCTCTTTAAGCCTCGGCTGATTAGATCAGATAAGATAAGGCGCCACATTAAACATTTATGTAGCAATGTGCGCATAGCTGTGGCTGGGATCTTTATGTCAAATTGCATGAGCCGCTAAGCCGCTTCTAGGATAGTAACGTTGCTACTACGCAAAGTCGCAAAGTCTCGGGATCAAGGTTTGGCAGTCTGCGCAGTTTGGGCGTGTGAAAATTGAACCGTGCTTTGCCCGTTCACCCGATCGGAATGCCACGGCTGGCTCCAAAATCCTCCCACCAACCATCCTACCCAGAACCTATCCACCAAGCCTTTTCGTCTTTGCGCCATTTGCAAGTCTTTGCATCACCTAATTACTATTTTTCTCCTCGAGCACCTCCGACGCATCTTTCCTTTTTAAGCACGCCATACGCTACATCTTCCCACGATGCTGTCGCGAAACTCTGCCAGAGCTGCTCAGGTACATATGTCTCGCAATTGCCGAGCTCAATGGCTCGAGCTCCCTCGATCACATGCTCTTTTTCCGCGGGGACAATGTCGCTAACTTTCCTGTCTCGTAGCGCCTGGCGCGAACCGCCGCTCGCCAACAATCGCACATCCAAAATGCCAGCCGATCCTTCGCGACAGTTCAATCTGACATTTTTAAGCCGACAAAGTATGGTGGGAAGTACACCGTCACCCTCATCCCTGGTGACGGTATCGGTGCCGAGGTAGCGGAGAGCGTCAAGACGGTTTTCAAGGCCGACAGCGTGCCCATTGATTGGGAGCAAGTTGATGTCTCTGGTGTCGAGAGTGGCTCGCCCGGTAGCCTGGAGGAGATGTTCCGTGAATCTGTCGCTTCTCTTAAGAGGAATAAGCTGGCACTGAAGGGAATTCTCCACACGCCTATCAGCAGATCGGGACACCAGAGCTTCAACGTCGCCATGCGACAAGAGCTCGACATCTACGCCTCCATCTCCCTCATCAAGAACATCCCCGGCTACAACACCCGCCACAAGAACGTCGACCTATGCATCATCCGAGAAAACACCGAGGGTGAATACAGCGGCTTGGAGCACCAGAGCGTGCCGGGCGTCGTTGAGTCCCTGAAGATCATTACGCGAGCCAAGTCGGAGCGAATCGCTAAGTTCGCCTTTTCCTTTGCGCTCGCCAACAACCGCAAGAAGGTCACCTGTATCCACAAGGCCAACATCATGAAGCTGGCCGACGGTCTCTTCCGAAGCACATTCCAGCAGGTCGCGAAAGAGTATCCCACTCTCGAGACTAACGACATGATCGTCGACAACGCCAGCATGCAGTGCGTGTCGAGACCTCAGCAATTTGACGTCATGGTCATGCCCAACTTGTACGGTGGTATCCTTTCCAACATCGGTGCTGCTCTCGTCGGCGGCCCTGGTATTGTGCCCGGCTGCAACATGGGTCGCGATGTTGCTGTTTTCGAGCCTGGTTGCCGACACGTCGGTCTTGATATCAAGGGCAAGGATCAAGCCAACCCCACCGCGCTTCTCCTCTCTGGATCTATGCTGCTCCGCCACCTCGGTCTCGACGACCACGCCAACCGTATCTCCAAGGCTGTCTACGCTGTGATCGCCGAAGGGTGAGTTTTCTTGATGAACTTCTACTTACGATTTTTTTCCCCTCGATGCTAATAACTTCCACAGCAAGTACCGCACCCGCGACATGGGCGGTGACGCCACCACGCACGAATTTACCCGTGCCATCCTCGACAAGATGGATACCTTGTAATTAAAACCTCCGCCATAACCTTAAGATCCGACCCCAAGACCCACGGCCCGCTTCCTACGTGTTACTCTGATAGATACCTAGAGGATGGGAGGAACGATAGCATGACTGACTGCATGGAGTCACGGAAGGCGAAGCTGGGGGGAATCCCTAGACATGTACTGTACGTAGAATAGGATATGCTTGCACTGCATAAAGTTCATTGTTTTACAGCAATTGTTTCTATCCGATCGGATATTTTGCTGCTACGTGACGATCCATCTGAAAAAAAGTGGGCTCTGGAATGGAGGCTACGAATCTGGCCCGAGATCTCCAAGCGCCGGAGATATCGGGATTACCATGATGGGAATAGTCTGATAACTCAGGGGCAACGTCAGGGCAGTTGAGAATGAGATGGTCGACGACAACTCCAGCTTAGGATGAATGTTAACCGTGCTCTCGTATTGCCTGAGTGTTTCTATACGAATTGGCTTCAACTTGGCTTCGGAATTTGCTCTTGGTTCTGCCCTGGACTGCAACTGTGGCCTAGATTCCGTATCTATTATTGGCATCCGTGGATATTAATTTCAAATTCTATGATACCTTGACGAACGTCCGAGACTCGATAGAGCGGCCTTTGTTTCAGGGGTTTAATTCTTTGAGGTTTTCGTCCGGGTTTAAGTTTCTTGCGGCTGTTCTGAGGGTGCCAGCCGCAGGCTGTGCTCTAGACATTCGTGCCCCTTTAGGACCCCATGGCCCCCGATGGTATATGTTGGAAGCGAGCGAGACGTATTCGCCGGTCAAGTGCATTGCCTCATTATTAAGGCTGTTAAACTTGACCTCTTACTGTTGGCGATGACAGAGTAGAAATTCTAACTGCGAAGTGTTGCTGACTGTTGTGGTCGCATGTCGAGGTTGATTGATTTACTCCGAAATATTCCGAATTGGAGTTAAGTTTGGTGCTTGGCCCTGAATGGATGACAGTATAGTATAATGAAGACATCTGAGGGTGGTAGCTGTGCTGTATAAGTGTAAGTATGGCGGAAAAGGAGTTAAGATACGTAATTGGAAACACATCGTGACAAAGGCATTGAACTCCGGCGCGGATTCAAAAGAGGCAAAATTGAAAAGGGAATTGAAGCGTACAGCCAATTCCAATTGAACGAGAAATAGATCTTCATATAGAATGACTATGCGGGATTGCATCATGTGGTAGAAAAAGAGTGGTGGTTGAAAATCTGGCAAAAAAACGGGCGGCTCAGAGGATTCGAAGGCGAACCCGCCGCGGCCCATGAAAAACCGGCAATGGGACTCGTCGGATGTCAAGGTGTTTGTGTTGCGCTTGAGTGAGTGCCCATCCCTGACGTTTTTGCTCCCAAGCTACACGTCGGAATGCTGCGTCCCGAAGGGTAGGCAGTGCATTGGTGAAAATCTGTCTGCTATTTCGCACATATAACCCTTACTTAGCCAGAGTTTTGCCATGGGGCATTTTATTGGCCCAGTTGGTTCTGGCTCACGTGCGCGCCCCTACGCCCCCTATCTGTCCGCCCACCTACCCTTCAGATGCCACCACTTACAGAGAGATTTGCATGAAAAGTATTGTTCTAATGTGTCCTACTGAACTATGTTTAAGTCTTCTGTTGTTTATGAAGCTCCGTCCCAAGCTATTTTGGTGCTATCCAGTACCTAATGGCCACAGTGCCGTACTCTTAACCCCCTTTATTTTGTCATAGTAGGTGAGCCGTCTTAGATTTCCCCCATACCTTACTTGAGGCCATCTAAAATGCATTCTCCAAGTAACTATACGCCTGCGATGTTCTTTTGTGTCCTCGTCTAGTTGTATCATCACGGTATACGCTCAATACGGGCTGATCACTACGTTCTTACGTAGGAGACTTGCATCCATTTGCTAGAGTTCGCACACATGGAAAGACCAGGCCCGATCCTCTACTTACCTATCTTGGGCGACAATCTCTAAATAGGGACAAGTCTTTGGGACTAAAACCCCTCGGTTTGAATCACTAACAGGTTAACCTCCTGAAGTTTCCAGCATCCCGTATCCGACATGCAGGCTTGCCCGACTGGTACCTGTAACAGTGTCCTTCGTGGCGACCTAATCTACTACATCCATAGATACTTGTAACAATATGTTCGAGCCCAATTCACTTTGCCCAATAATTTTAGGGCTTGCGCGGCTTAGCAATAAGGTGCACCTCGGGTTACAGCGGTTATGGCACGGTCGCCCTGGGGCTGTTTCCCACCGCTACATTCATTACGGGCAGCCTCAGCGGGGTGTGAGGGCCTAGGTTAGGGCAGCCCGTCCAGTGTCTCCCCGCTGGGCAGTGGCTGTAGCGGTCACAGTGCGGGCGCTGTAGGGCAGCTCCCCCTCTGCTGGGTCGGGTTGTGGAGGGGTTGCGCGCGCTTCCGCCCTCATGGCGCAGTGGTTTGACACGCGGTCGCGCATTCAACCCGGGCAAGAAAGCACTGCGCGTGGGTTCGAGTCCCATTGTAGTCATCAAATCGTCTAACATTTTTTTATTTCCAATTTCTTTTTTCATAAACACCTTAGCATGGTGAGGCTAAATCAAGGTCTAGTCCAAGGTTCTTCTCTAGTTAGGAGGGAATAACAGTCAACACAAAGGGCCGATTTCTTATGGTGTGCGATATGCTGGCTCCCTCCTTAGTCGACGATACTCCAATCGTCCTGAAATTCCATACCTCACTTACACCCTACTTCTACTTGCCTACGTTGATAAGCCCCGAAGGACGTAAAGAATTCACAAAGCCATAATGATATATATTCTGCGTCATGTGCAATGCCGGGAGACATACGGATGCTCGAAAGGAGTAAAGCTAGGTTTGATGGCTTCTTGGGGTCCCTTCAGATTTCTGGCCTACTCTCAGGAGTTGTCCCTGGAGGAGACGAGACAGCAGAATAAAAAGCACTCTACCACTATGTACTGAGGGCTCCTCCCCATAGTTAGGTTCATAGTTCCTTGCGGAACAATATTGCTTTACTTTTAGCTTCCTGCTAGGCCAGCCTTGTGACATGGATGAAGGTCTACTGTGACAGACCTTGGATTCGCCATTTCTCGTTTCTATACCTCACATGCACCCAAATTGGTATTTTACTTCGGAGTAGTTTAAGCCCGTTCACTCAATTAACTATCTATGTAATTACAAACCCCTTCCCCCCGTCACAATCGGAAATGAGATCAGAGAGGGCCACGAGATGCGAGCTCGGCTGCTCAATAGAACTCTTCCTTTGGACGTGTCGGTTCCAAATTAACCTGTGCAAAGGCAATCGGCTAAATCACCAATAGTACCATAGAATAGGGGAAGGGGGCCCATAGTGTTCTCCCGCGGACTTGTCTCAAGCAATCTCGGTCAATCTTCATAAACTCAAAAGCATCGCGTTCCGTATTAAAAGCATCGCATTCGATAGTGCGAGCATCCTGTTCCATCGTACATCTTTCCTCCTCACCGCCATGAAGGTCTCATTCCTTCTGGCAGAACCATACGTGAGCGACCGCCTAGTGGCGGTGGTTAGTGCGAGACTGGTCTCGCTTCTCAGCGACCTCGATCTCCCATTTGAGATCTCGATGGAGTTTGAAAAGGTCCTTGAAAGTCTCCTCTTTAATCCAGAAGAGCATGTCTCTCTCGTCAACGTCGACCGGATCAATAATCTCGCGTGTGATCGGACACAGAGTCTCCTCGTGACCTTGGCGGTTCACCTCGCGTAGGAGAATGCGTCCTTCAGCGGGAACCAGGTCGTTAATTCCGCCATGGATGATCAGAAGTTCGAGGAAGCGCGTTGGTGCAATGCCGGAAACGTTCAAGCGGGGATCCTCCTAGGGTTCTCTCTGTCGTCGGTTGCGCGGCACCTTCTGGGCCCAGGTAATCGTACGGACGAGCGAGTTCTTGTAGGCTCGCAAGAAGACGTAGGCTCGGAGGATGAGGTCGAGATTGCGCTTCGTAGCCAAAACGACATAGGCATTCTGGGCTCTTGGCTCGTCGGGTCTCCAACCTTCAACATGCCAGGAGCCATCGGGTCGCTGTCGTCCCAGGTAAAGCTGGGGGCTAAGGAGAGCTTCAGGGCTTCCGGAATCAAGGACGAAGTGAAGTCCGTGGCGCGCGTCCCAGGAAAACGAGATCTTGTTCTTGAAGGTAGCTTGGCGCTCCGGCGATGGTGAGGGTGTGGGTGAATCCTCTACTTTGATAACCGGAACCCTGACTCCGCGGTCTCTCGTCTTCTGTCGTCGAGCGGCAGCCCCGGCGGCACGATTGACGGGTGCATGTTCATTGACAGGAGCAACTGCACCAACGGGAGCAACTGCATTGACGGGAGCAACTGCATTGACGGGAGCAGCTGCACCAACGGGAGCAACTGCATTAACCGGAGCAACTGCATTAACCGGAGCAACTGCATTAACCGGAGCAACTGCATTAACCGGAGCAACTGCATTAACAGGAGCGTCCACGGGAGCAGGAACAGCTTCATTTGCGGGCGCGGGTGCGGCAGCGGGAGCCACCTGGGGGATAGGCAAGGCATTGCCGACGGGCACTCCGGGATTGAGGGGAGCCGGAAGAGCTGCGTGAGCTGCATGAGCTACATGATGTCCTTGGCGGGCTACCGCTGCCTGGATGATGTTTCTGCAATGCGTCGAGTGCAAGGCTTGAAGGTCGAGACGGAGAAGGGAACGCTGCGAAAACAACTCGCGTCGACGGAGCCAGATCTCATCGCCGGTTTGTTCGTAGGCCTCAAGAAGGCGACCACAATGAGCGACGATGTCGCCAACGTGGTGGACAGGGAGACCTTCAAAGGCCGCGAAATGATCCGGATCGATAATAGGCATCGCACCATCGGGGACTAGCGCGAGCTATTGAGTAAGTGTTAATGGCGTTCTTGGTCATAAGTAGTTACAGGTATTGAGATTATCTTACTTGGGCTTCAGCTTGTCCAAGCTGCTCAGCTCCAGGGGCAGCCATACTGTTCGTGGTGGACTGCGAAATTGCAACGGTCGTTTTTATGTGTCGCGATTTGAGAAGGTGAGAGAAGTTTGCAAAGTTGGCTGGAGTAGGAAATTATTCTTATGCGAAAAGAACTCTCGGTGGCGACCTATGTAGGTAGCAGGCCCAGAAATTATTCCAGTTGTTCGCGAATTGGCAACCGCGTATGATCTAGAGGACACTAGCACTGACATTCGCGTGTTGAGCGGTAAACAAACCGATACTGGTTGATACTGGTTGCTCCGATACTACTTGAGCTTTGAGGTATGTAGAGAAGTACCGAGTTCTGCTATTGACCGCCCCAGCAACGGATGTCCAGTGCAGTTGCGCATATGAAATCGGATCAACTCACAGGCCCATACCCTAATGTACCCAGGTGCTTCTTCGAAGTTTCGGTCCTGTGACATAAATAGTGTGCATTCAGGTGCAGCATAACAATTCCAGAATCCATTACAACCTATGACTTTTCACGTATGTATATGGATTAATAAGATATTCTTACGAGGCCGACTTAGCAAAGAGCTAAAAGCTACGTTATTCCTAAGGAACTATAAAACTAAGTACAGGGAGGAGCTCTCATACCTCTAGGCAGAATGCTCTCTGTTCTGCTGTCTCAGCTCCTCCGGGGACCAACTCCTGACATGTAAGAAGCATCTTATCCATATATTGGTATCCCTGGGACCATAACAAGCTAGTTGACGTAAGTCACAATTCACTAAGCACAATCCGAGTGGTGAGTGCTAGTACCATTGTATTCACAACACTATACGGGACTCCAGCTGTCGGACTGCTAATGTATTCCTTAGACTGAACTGGGCCGCCAATTCACAGCGCAAAACAAATTCTGGTCACCGCCCGGATATGAGAGACTGTTTCCCTAAAAATCTTCTTACTCCATTCACATTTGTAGCTTCCAACTTCCTAAGCTGCAACATCCAGTCCTTACAACATCATTCGCAATCATCGTCAACATGGCCGATCAATTAAGGCAATTACCAATACCAAACTGATGGATCTTGCTAACATCTAATTGGTAGAACATGTTGGTAGCCAATGGCGGAGATCAGCACATAGGGGCTCCCATCCCTAATCCCGAGCAAATGCTTGCAATCAATGAACTCAACGACAATGCGAGACGCGACATCCTCACATACTGTGACCGGCTCCTCCACGGGTATCACCAGACGGGAGACGCAATCTGGCTGCAAAGACGTAGATTGACTCTGCAACAGTCTGCTGCTCATTTCGAGGCTATGAGTGCGCGCCTGGCCGAGTGCAACAATGCCATTCAGGCTGCCTTGGCGCAGCAAGAACCTCAAGCAGCGAACGCGGCACCCGAGGTTCATCTCAATCCTGGAATGGCAGTAGCCCAAAACGTCGCCAACCCCCACGAAGACCCCGTTGCCCATGGCGAACCCGTCAACCGAGGAGTGCCCGTCAAAGCCGAAGTTCCTGCTAATCAAGTTGCACATGTCGACGAAGCACCTCTCGCCCTCCCTGAAACCCCTGTCAACCAAGGTGTACCTATCAATTCCAGAATGAACGCTATTCCCCACGGAAAGTCTCCTGGCCGCGAACGCAATCCTCGGGTCGTAGGCGAACAAGGAGAGCGTGGCGCTCAGGAGCCGCGGTCTTACTTGAAAGACAAGATTTCGCACTTTTGGGGCCAAGACGGCACGATCAGATTTACTCTTCGCTACGCTGGTCCTGTGGTTACCTCCCGACCCGAGATATACTTGGGACGACGAAGCGACGCGCCGTACGCCATGGGTGGATGGATGGTGGACAACTTTGGACCCTGGGGCGGAGCAGCCAATCCGAAGACTTATGTTCTTCGACCTACCAGAGCTAATTTGGCTCTCGTTCGAGAAGCATACGGCTATCTACGCGCGCACAAATGCGACCTCGTCCTCCAGTTGGCTATCGCCGAGAAGCTGCCGCTCCATCGTCGTCAGCGAGACCCCTAGGAGGATCCTCGATACGCGCCCACCCAAGAGCTGTGGGATGACAAGCTGGAGCTTCTGATTATTCCTGCGGGAAGGGATGAATTGGTGCCCGCTACGGGAAGGCTTCTCTTCCGCGATGTCGATCTCAACGGTCTTGAAAAGGTGAAAAGTCCCGTTGACGGCATGGAGGTCGAGCCCGAAAAGATCAGTGGTGACGATTTGGTCTTGTGCATCGACGAGCCCACCTTGCGTGCATTCCATCACCTACTGGAAGACCTTGAACGAGAGATCGATCTGAGATACAGGAACAACCCTTATTACGGTTACCACCCAGTCAACCGCTCGCGTAGGTTTCTATGACGAGGAAGAGCAGGGAAACTGTGTCAACTGATATAATGCCTCCATGTGCCGATGAAGACTGTCTACTGGGCCTTTAGACCAACTCACAATCCTGGAAAGCACTATGGCGCCCTCTTTCCCTATTTCCTCATTTGCTTCTTTTGTACTATTCTTTTCCCCCTTCCTCTTTCCTACGAAGTTGTTTCCGGTCCAACCAATC